TTTGTATTGTTTTGTTTTTCAGCTTTCTCAGATCCTATGTGGAAATTTAGGCCCCACATTGGGCACCAAATGTAGCTGGCTTTCTTTTGGGCTAACCAGCTCCCAAATCATGACACGGAGACTTATTATTAGTAACAAATGCTCACCCTTATGCTTGTCCCACTAGCTCTTATAACTTATTTTAACCTATTTCTCTTCATCTACATTTTGCCTCAGGACTTTTTACCTTTCTTTCACTCTGTGTGTCCTACTCTGTGTCTGGCTGGCTTGCGGCTGCCTTTCTCCCCTTTCTCTCCTTTCATTCTCTTCTCTTTCTCCTACTTATTCTCTCTGCATCCAACCCTGCCTATCCCCTACTGCCTAGCTACTGGCTGTTCAGCTTTTTATTATACCAATCAGGTGCCTTCGGCAGACAAGGTGAAACAGAAACACATCTTTACATAATTAAACAAATGCAGCATAAACAAAAGTAACACATCTTTGCCTGGTTAACAAATATTCCACAACAATCAACTTTCTTTATTTTGTTTAAAGTTTTGTTTAGTTTGTATATTTTATATTCATGTGTGTTTCTGATGTGTGTGTTGGAGGGACAGAAGCCACTGGATCACAGTTCTCCACCATGGGTTCCATTTTACTTGTTGAACCAACCTTGCTGGTTCAACTTCCCGATTGTTATCTTACTTACCATCTTTAGTAAAAAAAAAAAAAAAAAAAAGTTACCATCTACGTAGTTGTTATTTCATTTGAACATACATTGATCACATCTAGTCTGAAATCTAAAACTAATGCTTAGAACATGTCAGCCAGCAGGCATGATGATGTGAGCCTATAATTTCACTGTGAGGCTTGAGGCAGAATTGTGAACTCAAGGGCACTCTGAGCTTTTGAGATCCTATCTCTAATAAAATTAAATTATATGAACCAAGTTTTTGGAATAGAGATGTTCAATTACTGAAAAAGTCTAGGCAAATATCAAAAAAGAACCCTGAAATCTGGAACTTACTAGTCCCAAGCATTTTGTTTTGTTTTGTTTTTTTAAGATGGGACCTCACTGTGTAACCCTGGCTGACCTTGAACTCACAGAGATCTGCCTACCTCTGCCTCCCAGGAACTGGGATTAAAAGTGGTGTGCCACCACTACCTGGCAGTCCCAAACATTTTAGATAAAGGATCTCAGCTGTACCATTATCTTCCCAATAAGAGCTCTGGTCCTATAAAGTTGGTGACATCAGGCCAGTAGTAGGTATTAGTGTGTGAATATAAAGTTACAGCTTCCATATTTAACCAGTTCTGAGATACACAGTGGATACATCTATCCACCAATATAGCCAGTGGTTTAGAAAGCATTATGCCTTAGTTTAATTTGCAATGTTTTTCTTCCCCATAAAATAATGTTGCCTCTTTTGCTCCTTAGTGTTGAAATACATTAGGAATTTTTTGTATTCTTGGTACTAAAACCTGTTAATTCATAGTAAAGTTACTGAATTAGAACTGATAACCTATTGGTTCAGGTTATAACCTGTTACTGAGACCCTTTTGTTAAAAAGCAGCAGAGGCTGGTCAGTGGTGCCATTTTCTAGCCTGTGTAACTTTACACTGCTGTTTTTTGCCACAGATTGCCTTCTCCCAGCACAGCAATTTTATGGACCTGGTACAGTTCTTCGTAACTTTCTTCAGGTAATTCCTCTCATACTACTTATTCCTTTGAAACAGCCCCTTAATTCTAGCTTACTTTGTATGTATTTCTGCAAAGCTTCAGGGTACTCACAATAATGTAAGTTTAATCTGACCTGATAAAGCATTGTGATATAACTATTAAATGAATGGAAGAGAATTTTGTGTGTAACTGGTGTGTGTGTGTGTGTGTGTGTGTGTGTGTGTGTGTGTGTGTGTGTGTGTGTGTGTTTTGTGTAACTTAGTTCTCTGTATGGGGTAAAGCTTGGACTAAAGCAATATTAGTAATGGTCACTGCTGTGAGCTACATAGGTGGTCTGTCATATTTGAGAGATGGTTCTGATGATTATCCATTGTGAAAGGTAAGTCGTGTTTTTAAACCCCTGTATTTTTATAGTTCTCTTGTTAATACTTTATTTTTCTGAGACTAATAAATTGTTGCAGTGCTTATAAAGAGCGCTTGTAAGAGAAGCAGCAAGAGTCGACTTTGTATATCCTTCCCCCAAACAGAAATTGATCTAGTGTTTTAGGTTTTTTTTACATTTACACTTAATTCTTGAGTTTTCAACTCAGTTTTTTGTTTTGTTTTGAGACAGGGTCTCTCTTTATAGTAGTCCCAACTGCCCTGGAACTCTGTGGAGAAGAGGCTGGCCTTGAAATCACAGAAATCCTTCTGCCTCTTGTCTCCCAAGCACTGGGATTCAGTGTGTGCCACCATGCCCCAGCCAACTCAGTTATTTTTTGGTATTCTTTACACTTCCATACTCATCACATACACACACACACCAGGTACACACAAAATTCCCTTCCATTCACTTAATAGCTACATCACAATGCTTTGGCTAACCATAAAATCCTGAATTGATTATGATTCTACTTGCTAATTTTTTAGATGAAAAGGGTCACCCTTTGCTTATCCTAAATGTAATACTTTTCTTTACTATTGTTTTTTTCCCCTATGAGTCTACTCCATAGTTATACCTGTATCTGACAAAACAAAGATCTTCCATAATGGCTGTCTTTTGGCTTTAGTCTCTCTTGGGGAGTCCCACCCCAGAATGCTCCAGCCTCCTGTCCTTAAATGTACTAGTCTCTAAGGCCCACTGTGTCACTGTCATTGTCTTAGTTACTTTTCTATTGCCATGACAAAGCACCATGATAGGCAACTTATAAAAGAAAGCATTTAATTGGGGATCACAGTTCCAGGTTAGAACCCAGGACCATTATGGCAGGGAGCATAGCAAAGGGAGACAGGCAGGCACAGCTTTGGAGCAGTAGCTAAGAACTGTAGCATCTGATCCACATGCATAGGCAGAGAGAGAACTAACTGGGAATGACATGGGCTTTTGAAACATCAAAGCCCACTCCTAATAACACAACTCCACCAATAAGGCCACACCTCCTTATCCTTCTCAAACAGTTGCACCAGTTAGGGACCAAACATTCAAATATGTGAGCCTATGGGAACCATTCTCATTCAAACCAACACAGTGATCTTAGGAATTTCTTGTGCTTTCCTCTTGTCTTGAAGTGTGTCTCCAACTCCCACACCATAGTCTTTCCATGTATTCCTTCCTTCTACTGGAACTTTTTCTTTCAGAAGTTTCTGCAGAAAGATACATAGGTAACTTTTGTGTGAGCTTCTATAACTGAAAATATCTTCATTTTTACTCTCACAAATTTTGTTTTGTTTTTTGTTTGTTTGCTTGCTTGTTTTGGGGTTTTTGTTTTGTTTTTTGAGACAAGGCCTGCACATCCCTATAGTCCTCCTGTGTCTGCTCCCCACAGGGCAATGCGCATGACCATACCCCAGCTCTTTGTGCAGATGCTGGGATCCAAACTCATGCTTGCCCAGCAAGTATTCTTGACCACTGAGCCATCTCTCCAGTCCCTTACCTGTGCACTTTGATCAAGAGTGTGAGTACAAAGTATTAGGCTAGAAATAATTTCCTGCTGGAGTTTAGATGTGGAGTTTCTTCTTGCTTCTAATATTTGGAAGGCTGGTATTACCATTTCTATTCCTCGAGTGGGGTTTATTTTCATTCTTTACAATAACTATCCATTTACAGTGACATAAATGGAAGGGAGATAACAGTGGAGTGAATGGTTTAATGTAAATACTGAATGTTCTCACTTGAATGTCAAAGCAAAGGTTGATCTCAAAGCAGAGAACACTAGTGAGATGACTCAGTGGACAGAGTGTTACCATGCAGGTGTGAGGACCTGACCGCAGATTCCCAAAAGCTACTGGAAATCAGATGCAGTAGCACACACTGAAAGGTGGAAATAGGAGAAGCCCAGGAAACTCATGGACCATCTGACCTGGTGTATGTAGTGTCAAACAACAGGAGACCCTGTCTTAAACAAGGTAAAAGATTAGGACTGACAGCCAAGGTTGTCCTCAGACCTCCACATAGATGTACTCATACTTACACAAACAGTCACTGTGCACATATTCACACCATTCACACCCCACATCACTCTCTCTCTCTCACACACACACACACACACACACACACACACACACACACACAAATATTTTTTTAAAAAAGTGGAGAATAACTAGCTAAACATGGTATTGCATGTATATAATCCTAGCCACTCTGGAAGCTGAGGCAGGAGATTTCAAGTTTGAAGCCAGCTTGGCCAACATAATGATACCATGTCTCAAAAAATTGTATCAAAACGAGGATGAGAATGATTATGAATGAGACCAGAGTTGTATCTTAGTTACTTTCCTGTTGCTGTGACAAACGTGATCAAGGCAATTTATAGAAGAGGTTATTGGGGCTGACAGCTTCAGACGGTGAGTCCATAGCCATTAAAATACAAATCAATCAGTTGCTAGAAATCCACTGATAAAAATGCCCATATCCCAGTCATATCCCTAAAGTCCCGCTCTGAGCTCTGCTGCTCTGGGGACCAAGCCTCTAATACACAGTTGTCTGGGACACATTTCATAACACAGCTAGGTCTCCAGCTTTGTTTGGTAGACTTACTCTTCTTTTAACCAGAAGTAAGTCATTGCCTCTGGTACTATAGTAGCTTTTCCCATTCAACACCTGGTTTACAGAGGAAAGAAAACTGAAATTTTTTTACAATATTAGACAACTAGAAGTTTTTCCTCCTAATATTAAGGAAGTTGTTGGCTTAGATTTGATCATTTTAAGTTTATTTTATTGGTGAATGCATATATTGCTAGGCATGGTGGCACACCCTAGCATTCAGGAATCTGAGATGAGAGATCACAGATTCCAAGCTAGCTAGGCTACATAGCAAGACATGAGCTTTAGAAAGAAAAATAATTAATACACACACATGCACAGAGTTATTACTTTCTTTTCAGCAGCTCAACCAAGTACTTGACAAGAAGCAGTTGAAGGGATAGGGGGTTTATTTGGGTTCACAGTAGTCTAGGGAACCCAGCCCCTCATAGCCTGGGAGTCATGATATGAGCTCATGAGGTGACTGTCGCACTGCATCCTCGGTCAGAAAGCGAGAGAGATGAATGTTGCTCTTCAGCTCACTTTCTTCTTTTTCTTCAGTCTGGGATCCCAGCCCATAGAATGGCGCTGCCCACATTTAGGGTGGATTATCGATACTCAATTAGCACAGTGTAGAAATCCTCTCATAGACGTGTCAGACGTTTGTCTCCTGTGTGATGCTAGATCCTATCAAGTTGATAATCAGTGTTTGCACCACGTATGTATATATAATTACAGAAGACAAATTAATCAGTATACATAAATTTCTTCTGCTTACCTCTTATGAAAAGTTGATTACTAATTGAAACTTACTTTTCTCATTCTGTTTTAGTTTACCAATAGAGTTTACCACATTTATTAAATTACTTGCTTACATTAAATTATTACCTGTTATAATTTATGTTAGAATTGCTTTTCTTATTTGGGGTAAGCTGTGGTTGGCCCTTCTGGGAAGCTTAGTGAGAAGTCGGGGCTTAGTAACACCTTCCAGAAGTCAGGACTGGAAGCTTGGCTCAGTTAGCCAGTGTTTTCTCACACTCCACTTCCTGTGAGCGAGTCTGTCACATGCAGTACCAGGAGCTTGGAGTTGGGATGCTGAGGATTGTTCCCTGTGGAGCCAGGTGTGTGGAGCTGATGCACAGCATGCTCTTTCCCCACAGTTGTTTCCTCTCTCTGCTTCTGGTGGCTGCAGTGGTTTGGAAGATCAAGCAGAGCTGTTGGGCGTCCAGGCGGAGAGAGGTAAGGCCACATAGATAAAAATAATAAATCCCATGACAACTCGTTTCCTCTCCTTCTTTCTATGCAATCACTTTTACCTGTTTAGTGATGACTGATATTCATATAAGGAGCACGCTGCTTCATCTGCATTGTATGATTTTACTGTATGCCATCAGTAGATTTCAATTAGTGTTACATTCAATGTCATTGATTCTGCCACAGCCACATCCACTGCTTGATTTAGCCGTCTTCTAAGAGCCTTTCATAAGAATATGAGTGAAGGGACAGGTTCACCTCAGTGATGGAGCACTTGCCTAGCATGAACCGGAGACCCTTGGTTCTGGTCTCAGCATCCTCTAATAGCATAAAGCTAAGGACAAAGCTTTTAACCCATGGGTCTTGGGGCAAGAGGATCCAAAACCAAACAATAGCTAGAGCCAGCATCATTCGATATGATTAAGTACTAGAGTTGGTCCCAGTAGACACATTATCTAGATCCTTGAGCACCTCTAAGTCCCAGGCACTGTTGCAGGTGGTTTTCCTCCAACTAGCTACTCTGATCTTCATCTCAGCCCTACGAGGTAAGTATCGCCACGAGGCTCAGGGAGGTCAAGTAACTTACCCATCACCACATAGGTCCTGAGAAGCCGAACTGAACTTTAACCAGGGCCTCTGCCTTCACAGCCCATGTTCCTAAACACAGTTTCCAGAAACACTTAAGTTTGTTCCACATGTTCGAGACTCTACACTTAAGACTCTCATGTTCTGATGACTGAATGAGCCAGGCATCCCACACCAGACTGTACACTAAAAGTAAGAGCAAGAAAGCAGTTTTGTTACTGTTGGAAAGAAACAAGATTATTTTCAGATGAGTCATTGAGGCAGTATAGTAGAGATTTGTCTGTATACAGAATAACACTTAACTGTATGAAACTAAATAAATAGATAATATAGAAAGTAACAACCAACTGGAAAATATTTACAACATCAAAAGAAAGAATACTAGAAGAATGCCCTCTCAGAGTTTTTTAAAAATATGCTTAGGTTGTGTTCAATTAGCTAATATACTAATCGTTTACCCTTGGTTTGGAGTTTCACTATAACTTTGAATCTGACCATTCTAAATACACAAGGTCAGTCATGACTTGATCCCAGTCGGGATGCTGTTTTGCATTCTTGCTGCATCCCAGGCCCTGATGGAAGGTCTTTTGCCCAGCTTAACCCCTGTACTCTTGGCAAAGGTTTTAGAATGGGAGTTGCAGTAGGGTATTAACTGTCTTCCTGTGACCCTGCACCTACAGTATTACAGAACCCAGACAAGGTTTGCTGTATGTTTGCTGAGTAAATGGAGATTCTTTCCAGGTTCAGTAAAGAGATGTGCTGAGATAGATGGGGTCATCAGTAAGGCCCTTTAATAATGCAAGGAGGCTGGGATAGAATATTGAGCAGCATCTCGCAGAACACAGGCAATTCCTTACATTTATGGATGTTTTTGAGGGAGGGTCAGCAGATTAGTGAAGGTATTAGGATGTAAGGTATGGCTCATTCCCTCCATAGGAGCAGCCCCTAGGATGTAACAGTGAGAATCTATTGCTGGGTTTTAAGAAAAAATTTAACATAAAAATTCCCTTCTAGAACAGAACAGTGATCTGTGCAGCCTCAGAACCCTGCCTCCTATAAGATGGTTTGAAGCAAGGTCTGTTTGTCTTCTATGGCATAACCTCAGAAGAGCTCTCATATTGTTGATGATATAGAGGTACCCACATTCCATATCTGAGGCATATGTTGTAGTATCTGACCCAACATGAAAACACATTTCAAGCCATGAGGTAGGAATATAAGAAGTTCAAGGTCCTCCAGTGAGTTTGAGACCAGCCTGGGCTACTAGGCTACATGAGATCCTGTCTTACAAACAAACACACAAAAGAAAGTGAAGCCTTGATACTTGGAACACCTGTCTTAACATATCCACCCCTCCCTAGATCCAGAGCCCTGCTTGTTCTGTTCTGTGATTCCACATTGATTTGTGTTTTCATCTTAGATCTCTCTCAGGGGAGAGTAGTCTCACATCCTATCACCCATGTAACGGGGCACATCTTATTGTTGTCGTTGCTCTGGGAATGGCTGGTTCAAGTTTTGACACAAAACAAGCTAGACTGACTTTAGTAACAGAGATATAAAGAGGTAAGTTTCTGTCCTTTTATATATTCAACCAGCAGACACCATATCATTATAGCCGCCACAATTTTAGCTTATATCTCTACTGGTAAGGACTTTTTATAAAAAGGCAGTAGTGTTACCACATCTAACAGAATTTAATACCTTGTGCTACCTGGTGCCTAGTCATGTCCTGTTTTCCTTAGCTGTCACAGAAACAACACTTTGCATCTGATCAGTTTGAATTAGGGAGAGTGCAGCATCTTTAATGTCTAGTATTGACTAATAAAATCTTAGTACTCAGCATATTAATACGTACTATATTATTCATTAGCAACTTCTTCGGGAGATGCAACAGATGGCCAGCCGCCCCTTTGCTTCCGTAAATGTTGCCTTGGAAACAGATGAAGAGCCTCCTGATCTTATTGGGGGAAGTATAAAGGTGAGAAGTGGTTCAAAAATCCATAGAACAGCTTTTCAAAACTCAGGCCTGAGTCTGGCACCCCAGAGAGAGCAAGTGCTCCGACACATTGCTCTTGCTACCCTTCCTTCTGTCTCTAACAGTCGACTGAAGCACCAGGTTGTGAGGGACTCTGCTCTCCTTTTCGGGGTATTGGTCCATGTCATCAGTCAGTCATGTTCAGGAGATTTTAACATGTAAATCGTACTTGTTCTTCTTTCAGTCTTCTGTGGCATAATACTTAAAAGTTCTTATTTGAAGCCGGGCGGTGGTGGCGCACGCCTTTAATCCCAGCACTCGGGAGGCAGAGGCAGGCGGATCTTTGTGAGTTCGAGGCCAGCCTGGTCTCCAAAGCGAGTTCCAGGAAAGGCGCAAAGCTACACAGAGAAACCCTGTCTCGAAAAACCAAAAAAAAAAAAAAAAAAAAAAAAAAGTTCTTATTTGAAAATGTCTAAATTGGACTAGGTGTGGTGGCACACATCTTTAATCCTAGCACCTAGGAGGCAGAGGTAGGCAGATCTCTGTGAGTTGCAGGCCAGCCTGGTCTGTATATCATTTCAGAACAGCCAGGGCTACAGAGTGAGAGCCCGTATTAAAGCGGGGTGTTGGGGGGAAACAAACGACACTTAATTTACTATTAATTACCTCCCACTACACACACACACACACACACACACACACACACACACACACACACACACATACACACACACTTTCGGTTTCATTTTGTTGTTGTTTGGTTTTGGGGGCTTTTTATTTTGTTTGTTTTTCGAGATAGGGTCTCGAAGACTAAGCTGGCCTTGAATTCAGAGAGCCATCAGCCTCCCAAGTGCTGGGATTAAAGTCATGTGCCACTCCACCCAACAAACCCCTGCTATTTTTTTAGACCGCTTCCAGACACAGTGGATAAAGTACTTGCCAGACAAATATGAGGAATGGAGTTCAGAGCCCCAGAAGTCAAGTAAAAGCCAGGCAGGTATGGTGACAGTACTCAGGAGGCAGAGACAGGATTCCCAGGCAAGCTAGCTGGCTAGACTATCTAGAATTGGGGAACCTGAGGTTCAGCAACAAATCTTGCCTCAGTAAGTAAAGCGAAGAACTGAGAAAGACCTCCATGCACACATGTGCTGCATGCCTGCACTTGTAAACACATACACATGCACTTGCACACACCATACATCACAGCGTTTAGAAGTTGGAATCTTTGTGCACTGTTGGTAAACTATAAAATGATGTAGCCACTGGAAAATTATAGACCGGGTATGGTGGTCCATTCCTCTAATTCCAGCATGTGGAGTGCAGATGCAGGAGAATCACCGTAAATTCAAGGCCAGCCTGGGCTACCAAACAATATTTTGTCTCAAGAAAAAATAAATAAATAAATAAATAAATGTAATACAGGGGATTCCTTGTATACCAGTATTCATGACAACATATTCAGAATTGCCAGAAAGGAAAAACAGTCAAGTACCTGTCAGTGGGCGAGTAGATAAGCAAAGTGTAATGTATAGCTACTAGAAATTATTTATCCTTTAAAAGGAAGAAAAGTCTAATACATGCTACAACATGGATAAGCCTTAAGAAATTATGTTAAGTGAAAGATGCTATATCATTCAATTTATGCAAAGTATCAAGACTAATCAAATACATTGAGACAAAATAAAATAGTACCTGCCAGAAAGTTGTTTAATATGTAGTTTAGAATTTCAGTTTTTCAGTTTTGCAACATTAAAAAACAGTCTAGAGATGGAGAAAGTAGCTAAAACACACTTCCATTTTACATTTTTTTTCTTCATTATGAAGGGTTAATCATGTAGCATGCATGAAGCCCCTCGATAGGTTCAGAGAGAGAGAATGAAGCTCATAAGAATATCAAAGCCATCTCTCAAGCCTGTAAAATACTTTTTAAAAAATAAAGCCTGCAACAGAAAATGAATAAATTTTCTAGAGCCGAAGCATCCAATAAGTAGATGAGGAATCCATTTGGTGAGCTGTCTGCCTTTCACAAGCTCTTAGACCCAGCAGGCTATGACTCAGTGGGTGAAAGATGCATGGAATAAACTTGACTATAAAACAGACAACTGTCTCCTTAACATCAAGGTCTCTGTTTGTGCCAAGTGTGCAGGACTGTCCAGCAGATCACCAGACACACACTGCCAACCCAGTGACCTAGAGAGAGCCTGCTGACCCGGGCCTTTCCCTGGCACTCATGTGGCCCTTTGGAACAGTGCTATGGAACCCTCTCATAGCCAAACTTGTTACCTTATAAGCACCTGACTCTGAAGTGTGGGTCAGTGAAGGTACTTCTTTGTTTTCTTC